GTAGATGATTCATTTTCGACGTGACTCACATCAGTCAGGCTCTCCCACAGGTGGCCGTTGACTGTGTTTTTGTAGCTGTAGCGTTTGAGGTATTTGATGATGCCGATCTCAAACACCTCTGGTGTCAGAAAGTCTCTCAGCATGTGGAGGATACAAGCTCCCTGGAACACACACGTACATGTTTGAGATTTTTTATGTATTTATTTTTTGCATATCAACATACAGTATATGTGTTTGTTCAGTTGATCTTAACCTTGTCGTAGGAGACGTCATCAAACATCTCCTGGATCTGGACCGGGTTCTCCACAGGGGTGGAGACGGGGTGGGAAGAGCTGAGGGAGTCAACCTCCATCGCCTCAAAACATTTCCCCAAGAAGAGGTCCTCCTGGGAGAACGAACAAGACTAGTTTACATGCGTGTATTAGCAAAAACCAGTCTGGAGGTCAAAGTGGTTTCTACACTTACCACATGTAGCTCTGGGTAGGTGACGTCTACAGAAATAAACTCCATGAATTTGGCAAAACCCTCATTGAGCCACAGGTCGTTCCACCACTCCATCGTCACCAGATTCCCAAACCACTGCACAGGTGAGACAACACTTGTGAGCGAAGGTTGGAATATTCTTTATCTCATAAGATTGGACCAAAAACAAAGCAGGTACAGTACCTGGTGTGCTAGCTCGTGAGCGATGACCTTGACAATGCCGAGCTTGTCCGAAGCTGATGACTTTTCAGGGTCAAATAAGAGGCCTGCCTCTCTGTAAGTGGTCAGCCCCCAATTCTCCATCGCCCCTGACTGGAAGTCAGGAATGGCAGCCAGATCTACAGTATAGTTAAACAAAATATATACACTTCACTCTTCTGTAAGAACCTATTTTTAGAACACACCCAGCGGGCACTTCAGGTAGTCCAGGGGGACTACCAGGTGCCCCCGGGTACCACGTTGGTGACCCCTGATCTAGACTAAGTGTGGTCTTAAGGAACACAGAAACTCAGTGTTGACAAACTACCTGAGCGGTTTGTAATATCTATCCCTACAGACCTTGTTTTGGAAGTGGATAAGGAATGTCAAAGTAGTCTTCGTAGAAGTCCAACAGCTTGACAGCAGCATCCAGAGCAAAGGCCGTCTGGTTGATCTTCTCAGGCACAGCATAGGCTGAAATCTGACCAGATTATGACGCAAACACATTTAGCTTCTATGTGAGTTTTGGTTTGTGATAGATGCTAATATTATGTTGCGAGTCCTTACCTTGACACCACGGTTGGTGGTCCTGCTCACAGACAGGAAATCACAGACTATGTAGGCCAGCAGGTATGTGCTCATCTTCACTGTGGTGTCAAAATAATCCTCCAGCAAACCTTCTGACAACTCCACCGTTTTAATCTGTTGTTGATAACATTTTGTAAATCTGTGCATCTTTAAAAAAATAAAAATCTTCATGCTAGTTTTCATCGTCTTACCTTGGGCATGTTGGATATCGCAATGTGCCGCGGCTCACGTATGATTCGTACGGTGAAGTTGGCTTTAAAAGCTGGTTCGTCAAAACAGGGAAAGGCTCCACGAGCAAACGTGGCTTCAAACTGCGTCGATGCCAGGACCCTGGAATAGCAAATACATTTGTAAAGTTGGGAAATGGTTAATACTAAAAGGTGAGGGGATTTATTAATTTTCTTTTACCGGACTTCTCCACTGCTGGTGCGGTAGCTGCCCTTGTAGAAACCACGGAAGCTGTCGGACAGATTTGCAGCAAAGTCCAACTGGACTACATACTTTTGTCCTTTTGTCAAGGGGGAATCAGACAGCAGGGCGAGCTGATGGAAACCAGGATACTCCAGCATGCGCAGAGGCCTGATGCCCTCAGGTGCCAGGAGTCGCACATTTGAGATCTGCATCTTTTTAGCATGGAGAATGATGCTACTCGTGTCCTCGTGTATGTCCAGGCTAATGAAGACGGATCCGGAGAAGTTCAGAGAGGTCAGGTTGGGGTGAATCCTGAGGTCATAGTGGACCGGAGAGACAGTTTTGGGGAGTCGCATGCGATCCCACGGGAAGGGTTGACCATTGGTGGCGATGGGAGGGTCCTTTATCTGGTTCTGGTTTGGCAGCTGTGCCGCAGATACAGTGTGGAAGGAAGAGAAGAGGAGCAGCAGGACAGGAGCCACTAACATGTTGAGACAAAGTACTTCACCTCCTCTCATCTTGAAACAACACAAAAGGAGTCATTAGTATTTCTAGGTTTAATTACAGCTGCGTAGAGTTTGACAAACTTGTATGAGTTTCTACTTTCTCTGGATGTTGAAATAATGAGTATTGTTTTTCGTTCATTTGTGTCTTATTACTTTTTGTATTTGTATTGTACTAACGTTTTAAATAAAGTAGGCTTAAAGATCGGTCTTCAACCTAATCCGATAAAATCAGTTCAAACGAGTTCAAACTTGAGGAAATGAAAAATAAATAAAAATAAATACACATCTGAATTTGAATGCAAAACAACACTCGGTGAAAAAATTGTAATGTCTTTACAAAGAGGTATTTACAAAAAGCAATATCTGAGGTAAATTGGCGATAATACGTCGTGTTAAGTTATTTAAACTTACCTCGACGTCTTCGAAAAACCGCACGGGGAGAATGAAAGTGAAACATAAGGATGGTGCACTGCATGATGGGAAACCACACGATAGTTCCTTCTCTTTAATATTATTTAAATACACACAGCTGTGGTCAAGGAGAAAGTGACATTAAAATTAGAGTTTATTCTGCTTGTGAATGAGTTTTTGGTTTGTGCTTGAGGCTAAAACGAAGCCGTGAAGCACGGCGTCCGATTTGCACCGACTTTATTTGTTTAAAAAAATGTAACTCAGCAAAAGAAATTCTTCTGCGTCGTATAAATGTTTAAAAGGACCAACCAAAACCAACCAATCTGATAGATTAAATTAATAAAATGACGAAACTTCACCGAATACGTGAACAGTAACTTCCGTGTTCCTGTCAAGTTCCTGACAAAGCCCGCCTTCTCTGACCGCTGATTGGCTCATCTTCGTTTGAATCCCTAATCATAATCAATCGTCAGTCTGCATCTTCAAATTACAACCAATCAAAAACGACTTTATTTCTCTGTCAATTTAAAGCAGAATAGCAGAAAAAAAAATTCTGATTTTGCGCACAAGTTGATGTTTTAACCAACTATTGTTTGAATTGGTTCGTCTATAAATTATTAAACAGTAAAGACGTAATAATAAATTACTGAAATATTAAACATGTCAACTTCAAAAAACATTTTTTTCCCCTTGTCCATGAAACGAACCGATTTAATATAACACCATGGTAGAGCAAAGACGTACGTAATTAAATTTAATTATAATTATATAAATATATAATAATATTTTTAATTGCATTTTAAAAATTATTCTTATTAATTATTTCATATATATATAAATAATGTTAATATTTAGATTGTTGTTGTTTGTCTTCTTTTATTTTACACTCAATTCGTCTGGTAATGATTTAAGAAAATCTTTGAAAACACAATTTGGGGATGGAGGTGAAAGACCCAAGGGAACGATTCAGAGGCAGTGAAGGGACATTGTTACATTCCTATGAACTTCCTCAGACAGTCACACACACACACGTAGGTATAAAGTCCATCCCATCTGCAAACAGTAATAACTAAACTTCACTGTGGTAGTACTACACTTTACAGGTCAGTTTGGCGCTGACTCTAGTCCTGCAGAGTTCATTCATCATCACGCTCAGCTCTAATCTTTTTTCCTTACATCATGGAATCATAAAAAATTGATTCACTTTGTTAATTAGAGAAAACGACCACGACCGACAACCTCACAGAACCAGGAGTGTTTCCATCCTCAACAGAAGAATGATAAAGACGGTATGTCTGGGGCTTCTCTGCGGCGCCGCCGTGTTCACCGTGGGCATTCTGATTGGCCACTTTGGCATCACCAAGAGCAGCAGCAACTCAGCACCATCCTGGGTGAAGGATGTGGCACAAGATGTGAACGAGGGCCTCATAGAGGAATTCCTGTCCGAAGTGGACAACGTCCAAATACAGGAAAACCTTAGGTACGTAGAGAAATCCTCGTGTCTGGGCTGCGTTGGGTCGTTAATTCAGATTCAACATGTTCAAGAAATATTTTCTAAAAAATAAAAAAAAGGTTAAAAATCTGAGATTTTTTAGAATGATTCTTTGAATCCTGGGGTTTGTTTCACAGGGAGTTGACAAAAGTGCCACACATGGCTACGACAGCCGGAGATGAGCAGACGGTGAAGCTTCTGCTGGAGAGATGGGGAGACCCTGAATCAGGTCTGGACCAGACATGGAAAGAAGAGTACAAGGTCTACCTGTCCTTCCCAGACCCCAAGAAGCCCAACAAGGTCACCGTAGGTGAGTCTTCATTTGAACGGCCACTTCTGTAAATACCAAAGACACAGAGACACTAAAGGCATCGTGAGCAGTTTAATGTATTGGTGTGGGCAATAACATAACATATAATAACATAACATACAATATTAACATTTCAGTGGACTCATCGAATGCTGTGCTGTACACGGCCAGAGAGAAGGAGAAGCCTTACACAGATGACCAGAAGGATCCTGCGGTGGTTCAACCTTATGCTGCGTACTCGCCTGCAGGACAAGTGAAGGTGAAAAACCATTCTTACATTGACACAGATGCAGAGGTTAAATATTGTTTTAAATATTACATTTTTTAAATCTGAATAATCACATGCTAGCTGTGGCTTAATCATGATTAATCGTGGTTAATCGCAATCATAATTAAGCATAACTAATCATGTTTCATGACAATCATGATTATATCACAATTAATCATGATTAATCGTGATGATAGAAAGAAGCTTTTTGAGAACAGAAGTCACTTCAGGTGCAGTTATTAAACACTCTGTGTTTGAGGCAGAAATAATTTACTTAAACCATAACCGGCCTCGGGTTTGTGACACTTCCCAGAATCGGAGCACCCTCTGACCTCCAGTAATCCTCACAGGTCATTTCTCACATTCTGTAAAAGATAAATGACAGATAAGGAGGACGTTCACATGTCATTGATCACACAGACACAACGGACAGTCAGTGGTCCACGTTAGTCCAGGAAGGGAGGAACTGGAGAATCTTAGACCTCCGACAAGTCAATGAGTCACAGCAAATAAAAGACAGCACCAGCGTTTAAGAGAACGAACCAAATTATTTTATGAATTTAGTGACATTTAGTTTTATGCCTGGGATGACACAGTGGTTTAAATCAGATTAAGAGAGACAACAACACGTTGATGTTTGACTTTTTATATGACATTTCTGGAAGAGGAAAAGACAGAAACATGAATCATAAAACCAGACGAAGTGAGAGACAAGAAAAAATTGACCAAAAAACAAGCTTTTAAAGCAGAAATATACCGTTCCTGATGACGTCTTTTGAAATCATTTCTTTCTACATTTATGCATTAAGCAGAGGGTACTTACTAAACAAACAAGCATGTGGTTCCTTTGGGAACCAAGAACTCGCTGTGCCCGAAGCAAACGTGCTAACAACTACACTATTAAAGCAATACTTTTGAAACAAAAAAAAAAACAGTTCTGAAATGCTTTGTTGTAAATGAATTAAATACTGAATTCAAATGTAATTCAGTTTTGCTATTATTTGTGAATATATTCTTATGAGGAGAATACTTCTAAGGTACCTCGTATTACTCCGACATTCTGATATAAAAACGTTCATGTCCTCATAACAGTGACTCTGATTGGGTTCCAGGGAAAACTGGTTTACGCCAACCAAGGTAAAGCCAGTGACTACCAGCGGCTCAACCAGACAGTTGACTTGAAGGGA